GGGAATCTGCATTTTCAGAACAATCGCTAGGTAATTCTGATGGGCAGCCCAGTGTAGGAGCAGAGGGGAGAGGACAGGAACTCGATTCTGATCCACCAAATAATGGCTGTGTGACCTTGGGCAACTCGCTAATCCTCTCTGATGTCAATTTCCTTATCTGTAAAGTAGAGATTGAAACACCCATCTCACAGGGAATTGAGGGCTTAGACAATTTCATAAACTATAGGGTCTGCAAACATCACCTTGTGATCTCCACTTTATACCAGCTTTCCCAGCTTCTCAGAGGACTGGGAGGGGAGGCTCCGTGCCAGGGCTTCCCAAGGAGTCCCAGGACCCTGTCACTCTGTGCCCGTGCCTACACAATGTACAAGTCCTCTTTGGGGCTGAGGGAAGGGATCTCTTCCCCCACAGACATTTCCCCTGGGGCACAGGGCACCTTCCAGAGCCTAGGAGCCTGGCTGTGAGGTTCCCGCCACCAGCCTCCAGATCCCACCCGCTAGCCCTCCTGAGGGCCTCATTTTGAGGCCCCAGAGCTGTGAGGCCAGCAGCAGCTCAACCAAGGCCCTACTGGGCAGGTCGCCAAAAACAACACAGAGGTGAGGGGAGGAAGGGGAGTGGCTCCCACTCTTGGGCCTCCAGGGCTCTCCCAGGACCTCTTTGGCACCTTTCTTCCATCGTGCTCACCCAGTATCCACTTCCCCAGGGCACAGAGACCACACCACCTGTCCTCCCCCCTCCCCCCAGCCAAGCTCCATCTCCCTATACCCTGGATCTCCTGCCCTGGTGTGCAGGCGGGTGCACACACATGTACACAACTCCCAGGTCCTTCAAATCCTTCCTTCTGGGACCCCAATTTCCAGGTGTGGGTGAGGATAATTAGATGTCTTCATGCAGTCTGGGGGGCCCCTTCCTGTGCACAGGGCCAAGGTGTGTCTTGAGGCTAGAGCCCCAGCACTCTGAGGGAACCCTCCCTCCCCCAGCCCCAGTCTGGTGGCAGGAGCTACCTCCTGCCCCTGCTGGTCTAGAAACTCAGGGGACAAGGACAGTGTCCTCCTGGGACAGCTCAGAGAACTCGCCTTGAAGCTCAGAGGTCGGGGGGATCTCACCACAGAGGTACCCAAGAGATGGGGTTCAGGTGTGGCTACCATGCATGGAGCCCCCACAACCCTGTCAAGACTGGAAACCCGGGTTTTGGAGAAACCTCTAGAAAGTCAGCTTTGGCCACACACCCCCAGGGGACACGGCAGATAAGTCAAGGGGAAGGGGCTTTAGCAAGCGCTGAGATAGTGATGAACTTTGCTTTAAGCAGTAGAGCTCTTTTTTTTTTTTAAGCTATGTTATGGGGGCACCTGGATGGCTCAGTCAGTTAAGCATCTGCCTTCAGCTCAGGTCACGATCCCAGGGTCCTGGGATCAAGCCCTGCATCCGGCTCCCTGCTCAGCAGGAAGCCTGCTTCTCCTTCTTCCCCCCGCCCACCCACCCCCCAATTGTGTTCCCTCTCTAGCTGTGTCTCTCTCTGTCAAATAAATAAATAAAATCTTTAAAAAAATAAAAATAAATAAATAAAAGTTATCCTTAACGGGCATCCCCATTAAGCTGCCATAAATGCAGATTTGCTGTTGTTGAATTAGGGGGATGGGGTTGGAACTCTAGCTGTTCAGTCTTTCCCAACCCCACTGCCAGAAATTTCCTGCCTCCAGAGAATACATTAGAAAAACCACCTGCTAAAGGCAACTCCACGAGGGCAGGAATTTCGGTCTGTTTTATTCCCTGCTGCCACATAATGGCCTGGTGCCTAGAACAAAGCCTGGCACACAGTAGGCACTCAAAAAACCTCTAATGAATGTATTTCAACCCATTCACTTTACAGGTCAGGAAACTGAGGCCCAGAGAGGCTAAGTGATTTGCCTAAGGATACACAGCAAGGGGTGACCCAACTTCCTCTGTGGCTCTCCCACAGAGGCATTCCTTACAGGACAGTCCTCCTACCCCAAGTCCCCAGATCACAGTGACCCCCAAGCCTCTCTCTGTAGCCTGAGCACTCAGGGCAGGGTCTCAGCTAGACAGTCACCCCACCAAGCACTCACTTGTCTTTGAGGCCTTGACCTTAGCCACCAGTTTCTGCACACCAGTCACATCTCCATTCTTGACGGCAAGGATCAGGTCCTGTTCACGACCCATTCCGGTCCCTGGGCTGGGCTCTGGGATCAGGAGTCCAGGGCAGAGGCAGGAAAACTTTAGGTCTGAGCCAAGGCGTCAGGGTGCCATGCCTTGGCCCTTTGGAGGGCCAGGCGTCCTGGGGGAGCGTGGCTGGTGTCCCGAGCAGTGCGCTTCTTGTTAGGCACTGACGGGTACTCCCTCAAAGTGTTTCATGAGCAGCCACCACAAGCAGGCACACCGATCTCTGGGGGGGTGGAGGCCGCGTGGAAACCCGGACAGATATCTGCTTGCCGCGTCGGACGGCCCAGGGATGGGCTGGGACTGGGCACGCCAATCTTCCCGGCGTGGCTCAGGAGCACCAATGCCCACCCAGAGCGCAGTCAGCATTCCCTCCGGCCTCGGCAGCAGCAGTGGACACGTCTCAGGGGTCTGGAAAACGGTGCAGTGCCTCTGCTGAAGGCGGGGCCAGGCCTGCAAGGGTCCCAGAAGCGGGGCTCAGAAGGGTAGGACAGGGCTTCCAGGGAGCCCCCAAACCACCCTAGCTGCCCTTCTGAGTCAAGGAAGGGCCAAGCCACTCAGAGCGGGAAGACAGCTGCCAGGCATGAGAGGAGTATTTGGGGGGAGGCAGTGACTTTCTGGGAGAGGGAGGCTGAGTCACTGAGGCCCCAGGGCACCTGGCAGCACCTCAACCTGGGGCAGGAGGGGCCCTGGCAGCACGACACACTGGGGCAGGCTGGGCCAGCAGCCTGTTCTCCACAGCCTGCGGCTCTGACACCCACAGACAACTGGTGGGCCAGGAGGTGGGGCCTGGAAGGGCCAGGCACAGCAGACAGGCAAGGGTCACTCCCTATGGAAGGTGCCTGCCCCTAGACTCCTCCCAATCTAAGCTTTACTATAATAGCTGGATGCCCTAGCCCCAGGCTCTTTACAAATTCAGAGGGTGGAGTGGGGAGCTTATAGCTCCCCATTTCTGGCAGGGGTCTGACTGCTGGACAGGGAGGCTTTACAGCACCTGTTGCTGACCCATCCTCACCCCTTGTGCGGGATGGGGAAGCAGCTGGGCAGAGAACAGAGACAAGAGCTGGGGCATGCTGGCAGATGGGGCTGCCCGGCCCCCCCCAAGCCTGAACCCGAGGCCCGGGGCCCCGACTTCGCTGCAGAAAAGCTTACGTCAGTTCTCAGTGGCCAGGAATTTGTTGCCCAAGCCCTGTGGCATGAGACCCGTGCAGGCCTGGGGCCCTAGCTGGGGTCTCCTTACTCCTAGAACGTCCCAAGCCCAACCCAGAGGGCACTCCTGCTCTCGCCCGCAGCCGACACAGGAGGAGGACGCCCCTGGTAGTGCTTGGGGTCGGGCTGGCTCCCCCGCCCCCCGGAATGCCCGTCCAGCGCCGCGCAATCCCCCAACCCAGCCCAACCCAGGCCGACCCGGGGAACAAAGCGGCGGGAGCGACCGGGAGAGCCAAGCGCCGGAGGGATTGATGCGGGAGGACGGAACAGAGGCGCGAGGAGGACGGAAGGAGCAGAGAGACGAAGGCGCCCGCCGATCCCGAAAGAAAAGTTAGTTTGTGCCCGCCCTCAAAGGTGCTAACCCCCCGCGCAGGCCCCACCGTCTCACCTCTCCCAGCTGCCCCGCCGGGGGTCTGGCTGGCCCTGCTCGGTCCCTGGCACTCTGGACGGTGGCTCCAACTGACCCCCTTACCCCCTTTCTCCTCCTTCTCCTTTTCCAAGACCGGCTCGGCGCCTCCCGCAGGAAATCCCGCCCCTCCCCCCTCCCTCCCGCCGGATCGGGAGCGGAGGGACCGTCCCGGCCGCGCAGTCGGGCTGTCAGTCAGCGCCTGCGGCCCCGCCCCCATCCGTACCAGACCCCGCCCCCCACCGCTTTCGTCCGGACCGGGCACGCTGGCTGGGTCCGCGCATGCGCCCAGGTGAAGCGGCGTGGTAGGGGCCAGAGTGCGCGCCCTGCATCCCGGTTGCGGAGCCGCCGCGACCCGGGGTCCTAGAGTTCAAACCCAAGGGCGAGATGCCCTGTTTATGACTGAGTGGGAGAGAAGACGTGATGTGAAGGGGTCTGGAAACCGAGACCTGGGGACCCCACTTGGGAAGCTCCCCCCTGCCTTTTCGCCCATCGCCCCTCCAGGGACTCCCACGTTGACCTCCGCCCGCGACCAGAGTCGCCGACTCAGAGCCGCTGGTTGGAGCAATGGTGCCACCTAGCGGACCATGTCGGAGCGGCCCACGGTGGCAGCGGCGGGGACCCCAGCCTCGAGGGGGTGCTAATGACAGGCTGGAGTGGCGCTTCAGCACCATCGTGGGTCGGACAGCTCCTCCCGCCCCCAGCCCTCGAAACCCGTCTTCCGAGCCCCTCGGAAGGGACCCAACGGAAGACCTAGAAGGAACTCCGAACCTACCCAGACCGCATCTGACAGCCCCCGGTGGCCAGTCTGCGAGGCTGGAGTGCGGGAACCTACTACTCTCCCTTCTCTAAACCCTCCCTCTTTCCTCTTTGTCCAGCCTAAGTGTCCAGCCCTAAGCCCAGGGCTGCGGAGGGGAGGGTCACGCATATGACTGTCCATACTACACTCTCAGACGCCGCGTTCCTCAATTTTTACTAGAGAGGAGCCCAGGGGAGGGCTGGGGAGTAGACGGGAGCTCCTATAAATCCAGAAACCTGCAATCTCTGCCCCCGGAATCGAGGCACAAGTCTGTTGGCAGGCTCCAGGACAGCCAGGAAGGTGGCAAGCCGGTTGGTCGAGCCGGAGGCTGGTGGAGCGGAGGGCGGATCTGCGGGCTCTAGGGCCGCGCGGAGTTCCGGCGGTGGGCGGGTCGGGGGCGGTGCGCGCGCAGCCGCAGACGGCGGCCCGATGGAGCCCGAGCTCGACCCTGCTGCTGTGGAGGTTCCCGCCGGGCGCGTGCTCTGGTGCGGTCCGGCCCGCGGAGGCGCGGGGCACGCGGAGAGGGCGCGGGGGAAGGGGACGGGAAGCCCGGACGGGGCCGCGCGGCTCCGAGTGCGCCGCGCTGACCCCGCGTCTCTTCCTTCTCCAGTGCCCGGGAGCTCCTCGCTGCCCGCTCGCGGTCCCAGAAGCTGCCTCCGCGCTCGCATGGGCCCAAGGACTTCCTCCCCGACGGCTCGGCGGCGCAGGCCGAGCGGCTGCGCCGGTGCCGCGAGGAGCTCTGGCAGCTGCTGGCGGAGGAGCGCGTGGAGCGCCTGTGAGGGGGGCGGGCCGGGGCGGGGCCGGGGCGGGCGGGACGGCCGGACCCCGTCGACTTCTCGGGGGAACTCAGACGGACCCCCTCCCCACTCTTCGGCAGGGGCAGTTTGGTGGCTGCCGAGTGGAGGCCAGAAGAGGGCTCCGTGGAACTGAAGTCTCCTGCGGTGAGAGGCGGGGCTCGGGGAGAGGGAGCCGCCTTCTCTGCCTTCCTGGCTCCTTTGTGACATTTGCTCTGGGTTCTGCACAGGGTAAATTCTGGCAGACCATGGGCTTCTCAGAGCAGGGCCGGCAGCGACTTCACCCCGAAGAGGCCTTATATCTGCTGGAGTGTGTGAGTGGGGCCCCCGGAGCGTGAGGAAGGGTTGGGAGCAAGGAACCGAAAGGACATGTTTTTTCTAGAGTAAGAGTATATACACAACTGAGGATTCAAAAAGCTTGTAACCCGAATTCTAGAACCGGAGACAAGAATACCATGCAGGCAGCGGGGATTCCCGTCCGAATTAGTGGTGGTGCCCTCCTTTCCTGGTTGGCCACGTTCTTGCTGTGACGCTGGGGGCGGGGGAGCGGGGGAGGGAAGGGCGCCCATGTATCACCGCCTGGATGTTGCCCCATTGGTTGAGCCACTGCAGGAAGGTCCACAAGCTGAGCTGTTGGCCCCACTTGCAGGGCTCCATCCAGCTTTTCCACCAAGATCTGCCACTGTCTATTCAGGAGGCCTACCAGCTACTGCTGAGTGAGGACACTATGACTTTTCTGCAGTACCAGGTACCTGCCACCCTCTCCCAGGGGAGCGACCATCCATCCCACTGAGTCAGTGAGGATTTATAAGTACCCATGAGGTGCTAGACACAGAGCTATGTGCTGGAACTACAAGGCAGCCAAGGGCTCTGCTCTCCTGGTGCCTGCATGCTAGTGGTGACAATTGGGAATAAGTAAGCAAGCAACTGAATGACTGACTTCACAGAACTGAGGGCTGGGAAGAAGACAAAGCAGGGGAGGGGCACACGGCTAGAGACATAAATGTGGACATCATGAACGCGTGGATGGCTGTAAAACCACAGGGCTGTACGGGAACGTGGCCAGAACAGAGGGCTGGGTCTGAGACCTGGAGCATTCCAGTGTGAGGAGGTCAGGGGGAAGATAAGGAACCAGAAACAGACCGAGAAGTGTCTGACAACATAGGAAAAAAACCAGGAGAGGTGGTATCACAGAAGCCAAAAGAAGGAAAAATGATTTTGGCTATGTTGAAGGCTGCTGAGAGATCAAGCAGGATGGGGTCAGTCCTGCGTACATCTCTCTGATATGGGTATTAGAACACAAGGATGGACATGTGGTTCTTTACCAAAGACCAGTCCTACCCTACCCCTGTCTGTGGAGGTGTAGGGTGGAGTGGTAGGGATGGGGGTGTGCTATCACCTTTTGCCACTTCCTTGTTCACACTGGTCAGGAGCTTTGCTCCGGACAGCTTTGATATCATAACATTCTAGCGTGTAGTTCTTTTCCTGATTTATCAGTTATCAGCTTTTTTGGGATTTTGCATTTAAATCAAGAAACTGCTAAATGTCATTTGTGCCCAGAGTAAGGTAAGCAAGAGACAGGAATTCAGAGACTGAGACCTTAGTTTGGGGAGGGTTTTTATAATGGAGTATGGTCCAACCAATCCCAGGGTCTGGGATTGGGGTGTGCAGGAGGGGCAGGGGAGGGGGCATGGGGAGTGGCTCCTGTTTGGAGGAACTATTTGGTGTTTTCAAAAGTGGACCTCTGATCTTTATTTTTTCTCTTTGAGGCATTCAGCCACCTGAAGAGACTGGGCTACGTGGTTCGGCGATTCCAACCAAGGTAAATCCCGATCCCATTCCCCTCCCGTTTGTTCCAGTCCTGGGACCTGGTAGACGAGCCCCAAAGTGGAAATGGCCTCTCTTGACCTAGAATCCTTGGCTGGAGCTGCAGCTCCCTGGGCACGGGCTGGGGGCCTCTGTTGGAAGTGCTCTATTGAGAGGCACATTGGGACAAGTCTGGGTCATTTCAGCTTCTCCTGGGTTATCAAATTCAGCCCCATCTTCAGCCTGTTCACTCCGCAGATAACATTTGAGCACTTACAGCTCACGACAGTGCACTAACACGTAGCTGGAATACCAGAACAGTGCCTCAGTGGGTAAGCAGATTTGTCTAGTGCAGCCTAGTGCATGCATGAATGAAGGGCCAAGTGAGGAATTAACAGTTGAGTAGGGTCTCACATTCCTTTGGCTATGCTATATGTTCTTTCCTTCTGGGGCCTCTAAAGATGGTCACCTTAGTAGCCCAGCATTGCTAAGAGCCACAGAGACCATCGCACGGGCCAAAAGGATGGAAACTGGTATACTCTTCACTGTTTCACAGTATGTCACGAAAGCTCTAGAACAGTTATGCCCTTTGGTTCCTAAAACTGGGATACACCCCAAGGAAATAGGCACAGATGTGTGTGTAAGTTCACCTGTCAGAATGTTCATTCATTCATTTGACAGTATTTTGATTCCTCACTGGGCGCCAGGCCCTGTGCTCGTTGCTGAGGAATTTCAGAGAGCAAAATCATTGCCCCCACAGAACTTGCATTTAGTGGGCAGCTTACCCAAAACATTATCACTTTGCAAAATTGGCGAACTTGGAAACATCCTGTGAGTTCAATGGGGAAGGCATGGTCACACAAAATTGAGTTTGTCCCTTAGAGCAGCGCGGTCCTGTAGAACTTTCTGCAGTGATAAAAGCTTTCCAGGTGTCTGCTGTCCAATATATGTGGCTTGTACAACTGTGGGACTGAATTTTTATTTAATTTTAATGGATTTAAATTTAACCTAAGTCATCCCTTGTGTCTAGTGGGTACCATCTGGATGGTGTAGCCTTAGCACCATAAGAAAATCATGGTAGGGAAGAATGCTGTAGTCAGAGGGGCTATGTCCATAGTTTGTTATTGAGAGTAAGAGATTAAACAGCAGTATGTTAGTAACAAGGTTTTTTTTTAAAGATTTTATTTGAGAGAGAGCGGGCAAGTACAGGAGCTGGAGGTGGGGGGTGCAGAGAGAGAGGGAGAAGCAGACTCCCTGCTGAGCAGGGACCTCAAATGTGGGGCTCAATCCCAGGACCCCAAGATGATGACCTGAACGGAAGGCAGATGCTTAACTGACTGAGCCACTCAGGCACCCCAGTACAATGTAATTTTTGATAGAAAAAAACATGGGTGTTTATAAGAACCAAAGATGTTTATGAGTATTTTTATTTTTCTGTGTTTTCCAAGTTTTCTGGTCTCTTGATTTTTCTCACTAGTGATTAATCATTTATTGCTGGCTCTGTAGGAGCCCCAGTTCCAGTAAGTCTCTGTTTAAAGGGGCCATTGGTGGGACCCAGAGGCCTGGGCAAAGACACATGGGCAGGCCCTTGTGGTTGCCCCCATTTACCCTGCTTGCAGGTCTGCCCAGGGACTTAGCCTTTGGGTTTGGCTTTGACCCTGGCCCACTGACTTGTCTTCTGGGCCAGTCCCTCACAAATTCCACTGGGAACTCCAGGCTGAGAAAGTCGATCTGTTGCCCATCCAATTCTCACCCCACAGCTCCATCCTGTCCCCTTATGAGAGACAGCTGAACTTGGATGGCAGTGCCCAGTGCTTAGCGGATCAGAATGGCAAGAGGAAGAGGAGGAGCTCCAGCTCTCGGTAATGCTCCCCACATGGCCACCCCCCCCCAGGGAGTTCTGGGGAGCAGAGCTGTTAAAGGAGTGCTCATTTTGGGGACCTTGGAGAATATACTGGCTTAAGAGCTGGGCTTGGGTGGCTCCCTTGTAGGATCCTGGAGGCAGTAGGATATGTGTGGGACGTGTGCATCTCAGACATCAGGAGCAGACGTGCTGAATTCCCCCCCCACGTCCCTCAGGTCCATTAATAAGAAGGCCAAGGCCCTGGAGAATCCCCCACGGGGGGTGAATGAGACACCTGAGAGCCTGACAACCTCCAGCCCACCTCCTTGCAACGAGGACAGCCGATGCGTAGAGGAGAAACCTCAGGAGTCAAGCCCTGTAAAGGGCCCAGTGGGCCCATCTCAGCTTCTGGGATCCCTGGAGCCCTGGCCTGACTTGGCTAACAAGGGGGTGGGGTGCAGCCAGGAGAGTGGCAAAGTAGAGAATGGGGTCAAGGGGGTTTGTAAGCCACGCTGGAACTTTGAACAGATCTCCTTCCCCAACATGGCTTCAGATAGCCGCCACACCCTTCTGCTTGCCCCAGCCCCAGAGCTGCTCCCGGCCAACGTCGCTGGGCGGGAGACAGATGCTGAATCCTGGTGCCAGAAGCTGAACCAAAGGAAGGAGAAGCTCTCCAGGCAGGAACGGGAGCAACAAGCAGAGGCCCAGCGCTTCCGGGAGGATGTAAACTCAGATCCCGAGGTGCAGTGCTGCTCCAGCTGGCAGGAGTACAAGCAGCTGCTGCAGAGGAGGCACCTGCAGAAGAGCCAGAGCCGCCCCCCGCACCTGTGGGACCAGCCTGTCAGACCCTTGCTGAGTCCTGGCCAGACAGATTCCCCAGGTAGCCCCTCACTCTGCCAAAGCCCCACAGGCCCCCGGCAGCTGAGGAGTCATAAGACCGTGAAAGGGACATGGATTGGCCATGGCTAATTGAGGCTTAAGAAAGATGGGGCGGAGAGAACTGTCCGGTGGAGTGGAACCCACAAGGACAGTCTGTTCTCCTGGAAAGCAGCAAAGGGACCCATGTGGGAAGGTTTGGAAATGGCAAGTCTGTGTCTGGGAAGAGGCAAGGGGGAACAAAACTACAACTATATCCTTAAAATAATAAACAAGATGCATGTGGATGGCTCTGCCACCAACTAGCTGTGATCCCTGTTCTCCCAACTCTGTGAGGGGAGCAAGGAGGCACCATTGTGGCCAAATAAAAGGAAGGCTTACTGTGTACGCCCTGCATGTTTAAGAATAGGGAACTAACAGGGCAAGAACAGTATTAAGAGATTCAGAATTCTTTACAATCCTTAAGGAGAACGTGGGAGATTCTAAGTAACTAGACTAGGGTTGCCAGATGAGTTCAGTTTGAAGTTCAGATAATCAACTGATTTTTTTTAGTATTAAGTATATTCCAAATATTGCATGGGACATGCCTACAATTTTTTTTTTTCTAATCTGTTAAGTCTGGCAACACTAAACTAGATGGCAGATTCAGAAACGTCAGAGGAGTCTGTAGATGGTTGACTTCCCTCCCAATACCTTATTTTCACTGTCCTTGCAGCCGTAGCCCTTCAGCATATCTCTGTGCTGCAGACCACACACCTTGCTGATGGAGGTGCCCGGTGAGTCTCCAGGTAGTGCCTGTCTCCAGAGTACCTTGGCCGCCAGCAGGAGTTGGCAGCTGGGACTTGACTCAGTTGGACATGAGCTGGGGGAATCATTCCAGGGCCCCCTTAGCCTGGCTGATATTCATGTGTGTCTAGGGTAGAGGGAGGGGTGAAAGGCAAGAGGTGGATTTAGCCCGAGGGTTCTGAGACAGGCCCCTGCCCAAGTGGCACCTCACAGCAGGACCTCAGTTCCCCTGGATGAGGCTGCTTTGGATTTGCGGGAGGGAAAGCATGGCATGGAAAGAAGAGGAGGAGGAGGGCAGTCCCTGTTTCTTAAGGTTTCTCACTCTGTCCTCAGGCTGCTGGAGAAGTCTGGGGGTTTGGAGATCAGCTTTGACATTTACCAGGCTGATGCCGTGGCCACATTCCGAAAGAATAACCCTGGCAAGCCCTACGCCCGGATGTGCATTAGTGGGTACGAGACCAGTGAGCACTACCCCCAGGCTGCTGCCACTTCTCTTGTAAACCAAGTGGACCTCCCCTCTGTGCCCCTAGCCAGTTTGCCAGTCTGAGAGGAATCAGAGGTCCAGAGAGCTGTGACTGACTCAGGGCCACACAGCCAGTCAGTGCTATAGGAACCAGAGCTTCCCAAGTCCTGAGCCCTCATTCCTGGCATCTTTGGTAGTCTCTCCTGTGCCAATTTACTGCAGGGCTCACCCAGCAGAAGGGATGTGAATCAGAGGGATTCACAGGCTAAAAGTGGTGAGAACCTCACTCTTCCTAGACCCTGTACCCAACCAAGGCTCTGGGTTCCTCTTGGAGAACTTAACGGAGCCACGCAGTTTGCAGACAGGAGAGTCCAGAGGCCAGACTTCTTGCACCCTCAACTCCTGTCTTAGAATTTCCCTTTCTGGTAGCCTGAGAGGGCTGGGGGCTCAGAGCTTATGGGTGGCCTATGTCCACATCTCAGTCTAACTTTATCCCTGCAGATTTGATGAACCAGTTCCAGACCTCTGTACCCTCAAGCGGTTATCCTACCAGAGTGGGGATGTTCCTCTGATCTTTGCCCTGGTGGATCATGGAGACATCTCCTTCTACAGCTTCAGGGACTTCACGCTGCCCAGGGATCTGGAACACTAATCACCCCACTCTGGCAGGGCATGGGACCTGCTCTGGGGGACCTGGACTGTCTACTCTCAGGGACCATCTCAGCTGCCTCCTATACCCAGACCCTGACCTGTAGCTTCAGGAGCTAGTCTGGGCCTTGGCCCTGGGTGTCTGATGCTTGCAGGAGGACGAAGCCATGCCCCCCCTACCTGGCTTCCATAGTCCCAGGCCTGAGATTGCTCTCGTGCAGTGATCCCCTTGGAACTCAGGACTAGATTTCAGAGACCCAGCAGGGTGGGGCAGAAGAGAGGACTCTGTGCCTTTAAACGAGAGGGTGCCTGCTTCGTACGATAAAGCCAAAGCCATTAAAAAATAGATCGCTTTTCTGCTGTGGCTGGAGATAGTGGACAAGTCCCGAGCCTGAGCCTCAAAGCCCTCCTTTCTCTCCCCTACACCCCCGCCCCAAGTCTCGATGTCCGTGGACCTGGCCCCCAGGCCCTCACCCCTGTTCTGCCGGGCCGCAGACAACGCTGCTTTTTCTGGCGCGGGAGCGAAGAGAAGTCTCCCCGGGAGGGCAAGAACGCGACCCCGCACCTTTCTCAGGGCCTGCGCTCAGGGGACGGGAAGTCACAGACCTAATCAGCTTGGCTTTCTGAATTGTAGTCCGCGGAGGGAGGCTGGCGCTCCATCGGGCTTTCCCTGAACGCAGCCGCTTCGGGATAGAAGGGCGGCAGACAGGCGCCACGTCGGCGCGGCTTGAACCCCAGTGGCTTCGGGTCGTGCTGTGGAGCGCGCCATTCTCATCCCTGGCCTCCGCTCCCGCCTCTCGTCGCTCCAACTCACTCCCCAGTTGTGCTAAAAACTGGTCAATGTTGCTGTCCTTCGGGGCCTTGAGCGCCTTCCTCCCTCCGCAGCGACTCGGAGGACCGGGGTCCAGGCTTGGGGCCCGCCCCGAGGGGAGGCGCCTCGCCGCGACGCCCCCGTCCCCAGGCCACCTCGCTCTTGGGTCCCGAAACCGGGCCCAGTGTCCGCCGGTCACCCGCTCTGATTGGGTTGGGCGTCCTCGGGAAGAGCAGGCTCGGCTACGTCCCTCCCTCAGCCGCTCCGGGCCGGCGTGGGGGAGGGACGGCTACCCTCGGCGGTCGGGCCTGGGAGGCGGCCCAGGATGCCGTGCGTCCCAGGGACTATTTCCTCCCGGACGCGGCAGGACACTGGGCGCGGCGCGCCGTCCTGAGTCCAGGTGCGCGCAGGTGAGGCCGAGGGCGGGTCCGCAGTGCCTCGTGCATATTCACGCCGGCCGCGGTCCCGCCCCCGCGCTCCCCGGGGCCGAGGATTGGCCCGGGAGCGGCCGCCGCCCGCCCCCCGAGGGCGCCCTCGCTGCGCTCCCGCCCCGTCGGCTCAGAGCTCTGGAGGGGCGGGGCTAGGCTCGGGGGCGGGGCCGCTGGGGCCCGGCGCTCCCGGCTCGCCCTTTATGTAAATAGCAGCGGCTCCGCCCCCTGCTCGCCGCGCCGGAGGTGAGCAGGAAGGAGACGGCCGCCCAGCAGCCCGTGGGCCGGCGGCGGAGTGAGCGGACCCGGCGGCCGGTTCCGTGGGACGCCGAGGCCTCGGGCGGGGGCCGGCCTGGGGCTCCAGGTGAGGCGCGGGCCCGGAAACACCCAGCCGGGTCCGCCCCCTCGGGGTGCCCTCCACTCGGGGCGGGAAGGCGGGGGAGGGCCGGGACCCCTGCTTTCCCCGGGCAGGGCGGGGAGAGCTGTGCGCGGGTCCGCGCGCCTCGCCCTGGATCCCGTGGCTCCGTTTGGGCGAAGGACACCTGTAGGAAGTGCGGCTGGGAACTTTTCTCTGCCTGATCCGTCCGCGTTTACTGAATTTGAGCTTCGGGTTTGCCTAATAGTGTTGGTTCTGGGAAACGGAGAAACAAGTGCCCGGCCCCGGCTGAGTGCAGGAGGTCACCGCGAGCGGGGGTGGGATCCCGGGTCCTTGGGCCCCACGTGGAAGGCCCCTGGCCCAAGAGGCTGGCGACGCGCGTCTCAGGTAGCCCGCTCTCTGCGAGCAGCGGCCGCAGCTCGTTACCTCGCCGGCTTAGTCCCTGCCCCTGCCATCTGGGCCCACTCTCTGCCGGCCCTTTGTGCCTCCTAATCCCCGGACGCAGGAAGCCCGCGGGAGGGGCTTCGGTCTCTGGGTCTTTCTCCGCCTCTGGCGGCCTTGGACACCTTAAGGGAAGGTATGGAGATCCAGTATGTTTTCCACGACAACGGGGGTGGAGTTGCGCTGTGATACGTTAGGACTTGGTGAGGAGTGAAAAATACCGTCTTGCCAAAGAAAGTGTGCAAAGTTTGCTCTTGGTTTGCCCCTGCTGGGCAGTTTGTAGACACACTGAGCTTTAGCTGTGGGGAGAACTGACTGTAACCAGGAGAACCGCGATGTGGTCCCCTCAGGCTCTCACCTGAGACCAGGCGAGCATTGGGTGAGGGGGCAGGGCTTAGACTCAGTGCCCCTTCCCATGGGGATCCACGTGCCAGATGCGGGGCGTCTTAACCTGGGCTCTTGGGATCCTCTGCAGAGTTTACAACTCAGAGTCCTGTCAGGCTGCAGAGGGGATTGTGAACAGGGAGGGGAGCTGGGAGGGAATGGGTGTGTCAGGGAGACAGAAAACCCCAGGTGGGAAGAACAGAGCAGCGGTACCGAATAGCTGTGGCCCAGCCCCGGAGAAGCCACCGTCAGAAGGGCTTTTGAGGAAGACAGTCTGCGTCTTCCAGAGCTAAGACATGGGAAGGGTCCCGGGAGAGATGGTCCTACTTACTTATCTCATGGGCAGAACATTCCGATTTGGTTTTCTCTTTCTTTTTCTTTCTTTCTCTTTTTTTCTTTCTCTTTCCCTTCCTTCCTTCCTTCCTTCCTTCCTTCCTTCCTTTTTTCTTTTCTTTCGAATGTGGGCACGAGGCAGGGGGAGGGGCAGAGGGAGAGAAATCCTCAAGCAGACTCCTGCCTGGCAGCTCCATCTTAGGACCCTGAGATACTGACCTGTACCAAAATCAAGAGTCCGTTGCTCAACCAACTGGGCCAACCAGGTGCCCCGGGTTTGGTTTTCTTTCTTTTTTTTTTTTTAATGTTTTTTATTTATTTATTCATGAGAGTCAGAGAGAGAGAGAGAGAGAGAGAGGGGCAGAGGCAGAGGCAGAGGGAGAAGCAGGCTCCCTGCCTAGCAGGGAGCCCGATGCGGGACTCGATCCCAGGATCCTGGGATCATGACCTGAGCCGAAGGCAGACGCTTAACCATCTGAGCCACACAGGCGCCCCCCCCCCCCCCGGGTTTGGTTTTCTTAAGTGATCTGCCCACAGTGTTCACCTGTGGCAGTCAAGAGGCAAACCCAGCTCTGGGGGCTCTGACCGCTCTTTAACTCCTCTTCTCCAAAGTTAGACTAGGCCAGTCTCTGGGGGGGCCACTGGACAGTGTTTCCAGCGTCTGAGGTCAGTCTGCATCCCTACTTTTCCTTGAGTCAATGGAGTGCCTCTTTGGTGGTAGAATAATATAATTTTAATAACTTAATAATTGAGCACTTAGCAAAATTTTAATACAGTTGCATTGAAAGAAGAAAAGGGCCCATAATTCCAGCTGACCCATTAGTTTAAAAAATTAAAAAGGTAATAGGAGCCCATAGTGGGGAAAGTGAAATGTTTTAGAAAGTGTGAGGAGGCAAAACTCCCTCTTGCTTCTCAGTCTTTTTCCTCAAACATGGTTCTTAAGTTTTTTAGTGTCTTCCCAGATAACAGGTGTAGCTCTGAATCATGCTGTGCTGATTTCTTGCTCCATAATCTTGGCTCAGTCACCTAACCATGCCAAGCCTCAGTGAGCCTTGTTGACAGGAGAATGGGGGAAAAAAATGTCATGAACACGTGTGGCCTGGCATAGAGCAGGTAGCAGGGTGGGGGAGCTGCTTAACTTGCTCCATAAAGCGTAAAAAGTTTCACTTGTGGGCCTTTGGGCAGACACCTGAACCTTTTGGACGTGCTTGCTGGGTTGTGAGGGAATTTGGCTTCTTTGTCCAGAAATCAGCCAAGAGGCCCTGATTTTTGAAAGCCTCTGGAGGTCAGACCTTCTAAAATGGGAATATTGTTCCTTGAAACTAGGGAGGCAGAGGTAGAGGACAGTGGCCTCTTCCAGCCTCACCTTGTGTTCCTGTGGGTGGCCCTTGGTACCTGCCCTGCTCTTTGGTAGAGCCAGGAGTGAGGCCTAATGGCCAGACCCCAGCTGGGGGCCTTTCCTGGGGAGAAGGGGGTGCACAATCTAATCTCAGCTTTTAGCAGAGGCTTGGCTGTATACATTCTGTACCCTGTCGGGGGTGGAGGGGATCACATTCTTATGCTGCTCTGTTGCCATTAAGGAGCTTTTCTGGGAATTCCATAGTGCTTTCAACCTCGTTTAGGGAAGAGGTGTCCTCCCCTGCCGGGACGTCCTGGCCCCAGGAGCCTGCACACCCCCCACCCCATAGAGAAAGTGGTATATGGAGCTGGAAATTGTGGAGCCTCTACCATCAGTCTGTGACCCCTTGTCTACCCACTGGAGACATTGAGCATCCCGGGCAAGAGTCTCCAGGAGCGCTGTGGGGTTTCCCGAAGGATTCCTCAACTTTCCGGATCCTTCTAGAAGTGTCGGGGGCAACTATTGAGACACCTGAGTGGAGGCCCAAGAGGCCCATGGTCCCTGCTGCTGGGTTGGCTGCTCTGAGCAGCACTGGCCGCTTGGACTTACTTATCCTGAGTACTCAGCTCAGAGAAGGCTTCTTATCTCACTCAGGCGATACTACTATCAGGGCTCCTCCTGGGTCAAGACATGCCAAGTCTGTTTGGCAACTTTGTTTTCCCCTACCCAGGAGCAGTTTTCAGGGAAAAGTAGGGTATGGGGCAGGAGAGGGGCGTCCCCCAGGGGGGGCCATTGGTGCTGCTTGCTCTTCTCCAGCCTTGGCTCCCAGGGTTCCCCAGAACACCATCCCCTCCCTGTGCCCTGGCACCATGGGGCTGTGCCCAGTTCCCTTTGAGGTGACCTTCCCTCCCGCCCTGCCTCTCAGAGGCAACTGGTACTTTGAAGAGTCACTCTGCTCCTTCCCCTACCCAGGAACCACAGTGAATTCTTGAGCTAGGAGAGGCTCCTCTGGGCGTGGGGACAGGGAACCTGCTAGGTACCTGACTCTACTCTTAAGGAATTCAGCAGAGACTAGAGTCTTCTCTCAAGACACCTGACTCAGTGTTCCCAGGTTTGTTGAGAGGGACATCTGGGCACAGGACTACTTGACTGTAGTAAATAATACTGTTCTTGGATCCTCCTTGCTGAGGAGCTGGGTGTCCTGGAGCCTTGGTCTGAGGCAGGGCCCACAAAGATACCCCAGCAGGATGCCAGGCATGATGTCTACATGACCCTGGCCTTGGCCAGAGACTTAAGAACAGGGTGGGGGATTTCCCTAAGGGGCCCCAGCCCAGTGCTCTTTGGGGTCAGTGGTTCCCAACTAGAGAAGACCTTTACCTCGTTGATCTCTATTCAGTCCTGGCTGTCCACTCAATCATGCAGTGCGTATCTACTGGTGCCTCCAAGGCAAAGATCTCTACCATCCCAGGACTCACATTCTTTTTTTTTTTTTTTTAAGATTTTATTTATTTATTTGAGACAGAGAGAATGAGAGAGAGAGAGCGCACATGAGAGGGGAGAGGGTCAGAGGGAGAAGCAGACTCCCCGCCGAGCAGGGAGCCCGATGTGGGACTCGATCCCGGGACTCCAGGATCATGACCTGAGCCGAAGGCAGTCGCTTAACCAACTGAGCCACCCAGGCGCCCCCAGGACTCACATTCTAAAGAGTGGGGAGCGTGAGCAACAGGAAACAAGCATAAGTAATAAAATAAAAGTGTTAAAAGGTGATTTGAGTTATATAGAATAAGAACAAAGTAGGAGTTTAGGGTGGGGGGGCAGGTTGCAGCTTGAGGAGATAAGGGTGGCCTCAGCGAGAAGGCCACATTTGAGCACAGATTTGCAGGAAGTGAGGGAGTTCTTCAAAGAACATGAGCATCTCTCATGTGTCCAGGCGCTGAGCACTGGGGGTGCAACCATGGACAGGACAGGCACGGTCCCTTTCCCCTGGACCTGACATCTTTTGGAGGCTCTGTGAGTCAGCTGTCAAGTTTTGAGGCAAGTAGGAGGCTGTGGAATGGGGCCTGATAGGATGGGCCAGACAGCCTACCACCCCCACCCCAGGCAAGTTGTCCACCTCCTCCCCAGAATGGCTTTGCTCTTTGGGCTTGGCCATATCCAATCTGTCACTTCCCTGGAGAGAGTCTGATGCTGGGTTGCAGATAAGGGACTGAGGCCCCTAGAATGGGGATGTGTTCAGGGAATGCATGTATTTCTACTCTTCCCCACCCCCACCCCCCCAAATCCTCAGGGGCCTTGGGAGGAAACCCTACAGGAGGAGCCTTGGGTGTGGCAGGAGGGCCCTCCCAGGGTTGTGGGACTGGCTTGTGGCTCCTTAGGATGGGGGTGGAACACGACACTGATCTGGGCCTAGCCAGGGAGGGTGAGGTCAGGCTCTGGCTGCTCACCCAGGTTGTCCCATCTGGACTACTGCTGGCCAGCCCCCTTGATCTGT